GCCCCCTCCCGACTTCTCCATCAAGATCAATAATACAACCATCGGTCCCCCCCCTCATGCCAGGGTACTAGCTGTAATCCTGGACTCCCATCTGTCCTTTCAGTCCCAAATCCAATCACTGTCCAAATCTTGTAGACTTCACCTCCACAACATCTCCAAGATACACATGTTCTTAACCTCTGAAACTACTAAGCAACTTATTCACTCCCTGGTTATCTCTCGCCTTCACTATTGTAACTCCCTCCTCAGTCTCTTCAGTCTATCATGAATGCTGCTGCCAGACTCATCGACCTTACTAACCATTCCATATCTGCTATCCGTCTCTGCCAATCCCTCCACTGGCTTCCCATTGCCCAAGAAATAAAATTCAAAACATTAACAATCACATACAAAGCCATTTATAACTCCTCCCCAAATTACGTCACCAATCTTGTCTCCAAATATCACCCAAGCCGTCCTCTCCAGTCCTCCCACGACCTCCTGCTCTCTAGCTCCCTTGTCTCCTCCTCCATGCTCATCTCCAGAACTTATCCAGAGCCTTCCCATCATCTTGAACTCTCTATCCCAATTTATCCAACATTCGCCTACTCTGCCCACTTTTAAGTGATCCCTGAAAACCTCTCTCTTCAGGGAAGCTTATCCTGCCTTCAGATAATAACAGAATCTTCTATTCCTATCAGTCCATCCCCCACAGTTATTACCTTTTGTATCACCAGCCCCTCCCTCTTAGATTGTAAGCTCCAAGGAGAAGGCCCTCCTAACCCTCTTGTATTGAACTGTATCGTTGCTGTATTGTCTCCCTTTAAAAGCGCTGATCAAACTGTTGGCACTATATAAATCCTGTATAAATATAATAATAATATTGGCAAAGTATTGGGACATCCCTCCAAATCATTGGATTCAGGTGTTCCAATCACCTCCAGGGCCACAAGTGTATAAAATCAAGTACCTAGGCATACAGACTGCTGCTACAAACATTTGTGAAAGAATGGGTCACTCTCAGGATCTCAGTGAATTCAATCAAGTTGCCACCTGTGCAATAAGTCCATCCATGAAATTTCCTTGCTACTACAGTCAGGTCCATAAATATTGGGACATCAACACAATTCTAACATTTTTGGCTCTATACACCACCACAATGGATTTGAAATGATACAAACAAGATGTGCTTTAACTGCAGACTGTCAGCTTTAATTTGAGGGTATTTACATCCAAATCAGGTGAACGGTGTAGGAATTACAACAGTTTGCATATGTGCCTCACACTTGTTTAGGGACCAAATGTAATGGGACAGAATAATAATCATAAATCAAACTTTCACTTTTTAATATTTGGTTGCAAATCCTTTGCAGTTAATTACAGCCTGAAGTCTGGAACGCATAGACATCACCAGACGCTGAGTTTCATCCCTGGTGATGCTCTGCCAGGCCTCTACTGCAACTGTCTTCAGTTCCTGCTTGTTCTTGGGGCATTTTCCCTTCAGTTTTGTCTTCAGCAAGTGAAATGCATGCTCAATCGGATTCAGGTCAGGTGATTGACTTGGCCATTGCATAACATTCCACTTCTTTCCCTTAAAAAACTCTTTGGTTGCTTTTGCAGTCTGCTTTGGGTCATTGTCCATCTGCACTGTGAAGCGTCCAATGAGTTGTGAAGCATTTGGCTGAATATGAGCAGATAATATTGCCCGAAACACTTCAGAATTCATCCGGCTGCTTTTGTCAGCAGTCACATCATCAATAAATACAAGAGAAGCAGTTCCATTGGCAGCCATTACATGCCCACGCCATGACACTACCACCACCATGCTTCACTGATGAGGTGGTATGCTTAGGATCATGAGCAGTTCCTTTCCTTCTCCATACTCTTCTCTTCCCATCACTCTGGTACAAGTTGATGTCGGTCTCATCTGTCCATAGGATGTTGTTCCAGAACTGTGAAGGCTTTTTTACATGTTGTTTGGCAAACTCTAATCTGGCCTTCCTGTTTTTGAGGCTCACCAATGGTTTCCATCTTGTGGTGAACCCTCTGTATTCACTCTGGTGAAGTCTTCTCTTGATTGTTGACTTTGACACACATACACCTACCTCCTGGAGAGTGTTCTTGATCTGACCAACTGTTGTGAAGGGTGTTTTCTTCACCACGGAAAGAATTCTTTGGTCATCCACCAAAGTTGTTTTCCGTGGTCTTCTGGGTCTTTTGGTGTTGCTGAGCTCACCGGGGCGTTCCTTCTTTTTAAGAATGTTCCAAACAGTTGTTTTGACCACGCCTAATGTTTTTGCTATCTCTCTGATGGGTTTGTTTTGTTTTTCCAGCCTAATGATGGCTTGCTTCACTGATAGTGACAGCTCTTTGTTGCTGTCAACTCTCAAGATGAGATCCAGATTCCAAATGCAAATAGCACACTTGAAATAAACTCTGGACCTTTTATCTGCTCATTGTAGTTGGGATAATGAGGGAATAAACACACATCTGGCCATGGAACAGCTGAGGAGCCAATTGTCCCATTACTTTTGGTCCCTTAATAAGTGGGAAGCACATATGCAAACTGTTGTAATTCCTACACCGTTCACCTGATTTGGATGTAAATACCCTTAAATTAAAGCTGACAGTCTGCAGTTAAAGCACATCTTGTTTGGTTCATTTCAAATCCATTGTGGTGGTGTATAGAGCCAAAAATGTTGGAATTGTGTCAATGTCCCAATATTTATGGACCTGACTGTAAATATTCCATGGTCAACTGTTAGTGGTATTATAACAAAGAGGAAGCAACTGGGAACAACAGCAACTCAGCCATGAAGTGGTAGGCCACGTAAAATGACAGAGCGGGGTCATCGCATGCTGAAGTGCACAATGCGCAAAGGTTACCAACTGTGTGCAGAGTCAATAGCTAAAGACCTCCAAACTTCGTGTGGCCTTCAGATTAGCACAACAACAGTGTGTAGAGAGCGTCATGGAATGGGATTCCATGGCCAAGCAGCTGCATCCAAGCCTTACATCACAAAGTGCAATGCAAAGTGTCGGATACAGTAGTGTAAAGCACGCTGCCACTGGACTCTAGAGCAGTGGCGATGAGTTGACTGGAGTGACCAATCACGCTTCTCTATCTGGCAATCTGATGGACGTGCCTGGGTTTCACGGTTGCCTGGAGAACAGTACTTGCCTGACTCCATTGTGCCATGTGTAAAGTTTGGTGGAGGGAGGATTATGCTGTGGGGTTGTTATTCGGGGGTTGGGCTTGGCCCCTTAGTTCCAGTGAAGGGAACTCTTAAGGTGTCAGCATACCAAGACATTTTGGACAATTTCATGCTCTCAGCTTTGTGGGAACAGTTTGGGGATGGCCCCTTCCTGTTCCAAAATGACTGCGCAACAGTCTGTATGGCCCTCACATGCTTGTATGCATGCCTGACAATGTCAGGGCATGCTCCTAATGAGACGATGGCTGGTGTCCTGGGGTATTTCCTCCCAGATCTGGACCAGGGCATCACTGGGCTCCTGGAAAGTCAACCTGGTGGCGTCAGATGGACTGAAACTCGACATCCCAGAGGTGTTCTACTGGATTTAGGTCAGGTGAGCGTGAGGGCCATTCAATGGTATCAATTCCTTCACCATCCAGGAACTGCCTGCATACTCTCGCCACATGAGGCCGGGAATTGACGTGCACCAGAAGAAACCCAGGACCCACTGAACCAGCGTAGTCCCTGTAATCGAGGAATTCTAGGCTCTTTCCTGCCCAAAGTTTCCCTGAGCCTTTCGAATTGTGGGTCCCAAATGAGGAAGTACTAATCCGAATAGAACTGTCAGCCAGTCCTCTCATTTCCAACCAGACTACTGTGGAACCCCTCATCCTGCATGGGTGAGAACCTCTGAGTAACTCAACAATGTCATCAAACCTTCTCCCCTAAAGGGACAACCCAAATAATTGGGAAATATACCTGCCAAACAGGATCTCAGGATCCGTCCCTGGTGCCCTGTACATTATACATAGATGATATATACACTCACCAGCCACTTTATTAGGTATTATTATTATACATGATTTATATAGCGCCAACAGTTTGCTCAGCGCTTTACAATATAACGGGAGGGAACAATACAGTTCAATACAAAAGGGTTAGGAGGGCTCTGCTCCTTGGAGCTTACAATCTAGGAGGGAGGGGATAGTGGTACAAAAGGTAGTAACTGTAGGGGATGAACTGGTAAGGGATTTAAGTGACTTTGAATGTGGCATGGTTGTTAGTGAAAGACGGGTTGGTCTGAGTATTTAAAAAACTACTACTCATCTACTGGGACTTTCACGCACAACCATCTCTAGGGATTACAGAGAATGGTACGAAAAAAAGAAAATATCCAGTGAGCAGCAGTTGTGTGGACAAAAATGCCTTGTTGATGTCAGAGAAGAAAGGACAGACTCGTTGCTGCGACATTCAGATGGTAGGGTCAGAATTTAGTGTAAACAACATGAAAGCATAGATCCATCCTGCCATGTATGAATGGTTCAGACTGGTGGTGGTAGTGTAATGGTTTGGGGGATATTTCTGGCACTTGCTGGTGCCCCTTCTGATTGTGAGACCGGTGATTCAGTGCTGCATTCTGTGCCCACACTGATAGGTCTCCTTATGACATCATCTGCTTTTCCGTCTCTTGGATCTTGAGAGGCCACCTGACATTCAATAAGAAGCGTTCACATCAGATGCAGCAATGTGGACACTCTAAGAAGGACCCTAGCACCTGGCAAAAAGGAAAAAAGATTTGGGACCTGGGGTTTCATGGGAGTACAGATTCAGTTATATTTTTTGGGCTGCAGCGATTAGTTACATGAAGTATGGTCAGTTGGATGGGAGGGGTTGAGAGTGTCCGCCACCGATTTTTTAGGTATTACTTTTATTTTTTCTGTTAATATAAAAAAATATCCATGGTATTCCAAAAACATCACCTTAAAAAAAAGCATTGATTTCTGATGTATAAACAATATACCATTGTGTGGTCAACGCTCATCTTACCAGTGTGGCCCTGGATAGAGAGGAGGTCATTGGTGACACCTCGGAGGGTTTCTAAAGTAGAATGAGTGATGTCATATGTGGGAAGTATGATGTCTCTGGAGTCAGTAGATCCGCACCAAGAAATCATCGGTAGTGGCCCAGGAGTGTCATTGACTTTTCTGTGTTCCACTGGCCAATCCCCGACATTGATATAGAATTCTACATCAGGCAGTCGTACCTAAAACAAGTGTCTTTATGTTATTCATCTATCAGAACTTCAGACACCACTGCAAGCGGGTGAATCATACACACAAGCATTTTCCCCCTAGGCAGCAATCACAAACATCGGCATTTCTACTAAATGTAAACTGTCAAGATCTAAAAATAACCCGCCCAGCCTTGTTCACAGCTTGGGGAAAAGAACAAATAATTTGATATTTGAAGGAATCTTGGCATACTAGTACCTTTCTTGCCAATGACTGCAATATCTCATCTGAGAACATTTTGAAGTCTGTGTACTTGCCCAGAGAGCGCCGATAGATCTGGTTATTGAGAATTGTGTAATGTACTATGGCTCCTCGATGTTCGGCAAACCTCTGAGGAACTTCCTCCAGCATTCTCTTCAGGTCTATACTGGAAAAAGGAGCAAAATCATTTGAGATCTGTGATTCTTTGCTGGGGCATGACAAAGTTTGTAACCAGATTTCGGGGTCTTCTTCAGGACAGACACAGTATTCATGATAAACAGGTCCTAAAGGAAAGAAAAAAATAAATAGAACTTTTATATGGCAAGTATCTTAAAGTTGACCTATCATCAGATGTATTCTTTTCACATCTAAGTAAGACGCAAACGTAATACATAAAGATATTAATCACCTCTGACGGAGATCACATTACACAGGATATAGACAATGCCTTTATCTGCTTTTCTCTCCAAGATGAACCGATCCATCTGTGTTCAGGCATTGTCCAATGTCAGCTTCTACTTAAACTGATACTAAACCCAGGACCCTGCATTCACTATATCTGGTCTCCCACAGTACACCAAACATGGAAATGCAATTATTTTAGTAAATATAAACTGCTAAATACCTTTTCTCATCAGCAGTTATAGCAGTCTTGCGACTTCTGAAGAGCACTGGTTAAAGCTTGTAGGAGGAGTTTTCTTTCTGCTCTAGGAGGATGTGAAACCCCTGACCTCTGTTTGTACAGTGCTGATTGGCCCTGTGCTGATCACATGCACTCTTCCAAGAAAAAAAAAAACTTCTCTAGCAATACACATCAAACTGAGCATGTGCATGTGACTATGGAATCAGTCTGTATCAGGTGGTAATTTCAACAAGAGGAAGGGCAGAGAAGACAGGATCAATCAGCCTTTTTACACAATGCAGAGGATTAACCCCTTAGGCTCCACAGTGAGTATATCAAGCATGCTTTACTGCATATATAGACTGATTTTACTGTTGTGGGTTTAGTAACACTTTAATGGTCGTACAAATTATGTAGATCTTGGTTGTATTCAATAATGCATGACACGGATCGACCTCTACTTCAGCCTCTCAGTTTGTTATAATGTTACAGTTTGACTAAGTTAGAGGAGACTAAGGAAAGGCTTCCTCATATCTGCAGCAGACCAAATGCGTCATAATAGCCTAGGCAAAACCATAATGACTGCTTTCAAATGATAAAGATACAGCTCTAGTTGTAAATGATAGTGTTGTTTATTGTGACAAGTCAGGACTACATTCATGCAGGATAGTAAAGCTAAGGAAAGGCCCACTTCAAAGTGATATTAAGGATACTTTTCTGTCTTAAAATAAAAATCATTTTATACTTACCTGCTCTGTGCAATTATTTTGCAGAGTGCCCCCTTTCCTTATGTTTGGTAATTCCCTGCCAATGCGGTCCACTGCTCCCTCCTCTGGGTGCCCCCACAGCAAGCCAGAAGCTAAGCACCTGTACACCCACAGCGGGCTGTGTGCATCCATAAAAATACACAGCTTTGGTAAGTCATGCCCGTTAGGGCAATTCCTCCTCACAGGAATTGGACTGACAGCAGCAAAAGCTTAGGGATCCTCCTGCTTTGTGTTGGAAATGGGGGGAGGGGTAGTGAGGAATGCAGTAAGCTAAAACAAGTTTTGAGTTTAGAACCAGTTTAAATACAAAGCTAGCCAAACATATATATTTGAACACAGGCACAATTTTAGTTTTTTTCAGGTATTTACCAAAACATATTCAAGCTCTAGTTATATAATGGATATGGGCTGAACTCTCAGGTTTAATTTGAGGGTATGTACAGTTGTGTTCAAAATAATAGCAGTCAGACATCACTAACCTGATCAATCACTGTTTTTGGTAGGAATGATATTTCTACATGGCAAATAATTTACTAGCAGGTGTAGTAGAGTAATAGAAATCCAACAGACCCAACAGTCATGACATGTATGCTACTGATTCTGTGTAATTTAAACACTAATTGAAAGGGGCATGTTCAAAATAATAGCAGTGTGGAAAAAACTATAAAATGGTGCAGCGCTATTAATAAATGACATATGGAGCAAATAACCACAGGTGAATGAACCCCCTTAAGTGACAGCATAAATCAATCACTGGTGTCAAGATGCAATTGACACGCACTTAACAAGTGACTACGGGGTGATAAAGTCCAATATGAGCACACAGGTGAGGAACTCTTCACACGTGGATGTGTCATACGTGCCACAGGAATCCCAAAACACTCTGAGTGCCCCCTCACCTCCTTGAAATGACCTCAAGGGCCAACCAGCTTTCCAATGATAGTCAGGCAATCTCCTGTTGATCCCTTCAGTCTGACTGGAATGATGGTAACTTTCACCAGACCTCTTTCCACCGCTCTACCGACACCACTATCTTCCACTCAGAGACATAACCAAAACAGGCTCCATAGTGCAATATGTCCGCGCCATATTGGGACTCCATGAAGCCGCATGTCAGGAGGACTGCCGAGTATTGTGCATGATCGTTTGCCTACATGTAAGTGGGTATTTATGTTTTTATCTTAATAAATTGGACATATTGCACTATGGAGCCTGTTTTGGTTATGTCTCTGAGTGGAAGATAGTGGTGTCGGTAGAGCGGTGGAAAGAGGTCTGGTGAAAGTTACCATCATTCCAGTCAGACTGAAGGGATCAACAGGAGATTGCCTGACTATCATTGGAAAGCTGGTTGGCCCTTGAGGTCATTTCAAGGAGGTGAGGGGGCACTCAGAGTGTTTTGGGATTCCTGTGGCACGTATGACACATCCACGTGTGAAGAGTTCCTCACCTGTGTGCTCATATTGGACTTTATCACCCCGTAGTCACTTGTTAAGTGCGTGTCAATTGCATCTTGACACCAGTGATTGATTTATGCTGTCACTTAAGGGGGTTCATTCACCTGTGGTTATTTGCTCCATATGTCATTTATTAATAGCGCTGCACCATTTTATAGTTTTTTAATTTATGTGACACTGGTACATAGTAGGTGCTAGCAGCTTATTATTAGGGTCATCTAAGCGCAGGGGTTCTTTTATTCAATAGCAGTGTGGAGTTCTATTAGTGAGGTCATTCATTCTTTGAAAAACAGGTGGCAATTATTGCCCTTATTTAAGGAAGGAAGGCAGCAAATGTTGTACATGCTGGTTACAGTGCATTTATCTCTGAAATTCTGAGGAAAATGGGTCGTTCCAGACATTGTTCAGAAGAACAGTGTACCTTGATTAAAAAGTTGATTGGAGAGGGGAAAATATATAAAGCAGTGCAGAAAATGATAGGTTGCTCAGCTAAAATGATTGCAAATGCTTTAAAATGGCAACCAAAACCTGAAAGACGTGGAAGAAAGTGAAAAACTACCATTCGAATGGATAGAAGAATAGCCAAAATGGCAAGGACTCAGCCAACAATCAGCTCCAGGAAGATCAAAGAAGGTGTAAAGTTACCTGTGAGTACTGTTACAATTAGAAGACACCTATGTGAAGCCAAGCTGTCTGCAAGAAGCCCCCGCAAAGTCCCACTGTTGAAGAAAAGACGTGCTGAAGAGGTTACAATTTGCCAAAGAGCACATTGACTGGCCTAAAGAGAAATGGCGCAACATTTTGTGGACTGATGAAAGTAAGATTGTTCTCTTTGGGTCTAGTGGCCGGAGACAGTTTGTCTGACGACCCCCAAACACCGAATTCAAGCCACAGTACACTGTGAAGACAGTGAAGCATGGTGGTGCAAGCATCATGATATGGGGATGTTTCCCATACTACGGTGTTAGGCCTACTTATCGCATACCAGGGATCATGGATCAGTTTGAATACATCAGAATACTTGAAGAGGTCATGCTGCCTTATGCTGAAGAGGAAATGCCCTTGAAATGGGTGTTCCAACAAGACAACGACCCCAAACACACCAGTAAACATGCAACATCTTGGTTCCAGACCAACAAGATTGACGTTATGGAGTGGTCAGCTCCATCCCTGGATCTTAATCCAATAGAAAACTTGTGGGGTGAAATCAAAAATGCAGTTTCTGAGGCAAAACCAAGAAATAGAGAAGAACTGTGGAATGTAGTTCAATCGTCCTGGCCTGGAATACCTGTTCACAGGTGTCAGAAGTTGGTTGACTCCATGCAACACTGATGTACAGCAGTTCTCAGAAACAGTGCTTATACAACTAAATATTCATTATGTGATTCAAAGGAAAGCAAAATCTTCAAACATTTTTCAGTTTATATAGTAAATGTTTGAGTTTGTAAAGAAGAATACAAACACAGCTATTTTTTTGAACAGTCTAATATTCACTTTTCTTCAATTTTATTTAGAGGAACAACACAAATTTGACATATTTTTCTTCATGTTTTGATTTGGAATAGAATGTGTAGTGTTCCCAATGCATTTGTGTGTATGGAAATAAAAGCTATTAGAAGGATTTTGAGCTTTATTCACTCTTTTCAACACACTGCTATTATTTTGAACACAACTGTACATCCAAATTGGAGGAAAGTATTAGGAATTACAGCTCTTAAGAGTAGCCATCCCCTCTTTTTCAAGGGACCAAAAGTAATTGGGCAATTGAATCAAATGCTGTTTCATGGCCAGGTGTGGGCTACTCCTTCGTTATTTCTTCATCAATTAAGCAGGTAAAAGGTGTGGAGTTGATTCTAAGTGTGGTATTTGCATTTGGAATCTATTGCTGTGAACCTACATCATGCGTTCAAAGGAGCTGTCCATGCAAGTGAAACAGGGCCTTGTAAGGCTTCAAAAACTAAACAAATCCATCAGAGAGATAGCAGCAACATTAGGAGTGGCCAAATCAACAGTTTGGTACATTCTGAGGAAAGAAGAATTCACTGGTGAGCTCAGCAACATAAAAAAGGCATGGGATCCTCTCTATGGTACAGAAAAACCCATTCACATCATCCAGACAAGTGAAGGACACTCTCCAGGAGGTGGGTGTATCATTGTCAAAGTCTACAATCAAGAGAAGACTTCACAAGAAATACAGAGGGTTCACCACAAGGTGCAAACCATTCATAAGCCTGAAGAACAGAAAAGCCAGAATAGACTTTGCCAAAAAACATAAAAAAAAGCCAGACCAGTTCTGGAAAAGCATTCTGTGGACGGATGAAACTAAGATTAATCTGTACCAGAATGACGAGAAGAACAAATGTGGAGAAGGCTTGGAACAGCTCATGATCCAAAGCACACAACATCATCTGTAAAACATGGTGGAGGCAGTGTGATGGCATGGGCATGCATGGCTTCCAGTGGCACTGGGTCATTGGTGTTTATTGATGATGTGACAGAAGACAGAAGCAGCCGGATGAATTCTGCAGTGTTTAGAGATATACTGTCAGCTCAGATTCAGCCAAATGCAGCAAAGTTGATTGGACGGCGCTTCACAGTACAGATGGACAATGATCCAAAACACACTGCAAAAGCAACCCAGGAGCTTTTGAAGGAAAAGAAGTGGAATATTCTGCAATGGCTGAGTCAATCACCTGACCTCAACCCAATTGAACACACATTTCACTTGCTGAAAGCGAAACTAAAGGCAGAAAGACCCACAAAGAACAACTGAAGACAGCTGCAGTTAGAGTCTGGCAAAGCATCAGAAAGGAGGAAACCCAGTCTTTGGTAATGTCCATGGGCTCCAGACGTCAGGCAGTCATTGCCATTAAAGGATTCTCAACAAAATATTAAAAATTAACATTTTATTTATGATTATATTCATTTGTCCAACTACTTTTGGTCCCTTGAAGAAAAAGGGGGGGGGGGGGGTGCTACTCCTAAGAGCTGTAATAGCTCGAATGTGTTTTGGTAAATACCTGAAAAAAACTAAAATTATGCCTGTGTCCAAATATACTGTATATGGACCTAACTGTATATAGTGGGTTGTTGTGTTCCACCACTGCAAGAAAAGAAGGAAAACTCTCATATATAGGGATTCCAACAGCTCATTTTTAAATCAGTATGCCTTATTTTCATCAATAACCAGGTTTCCTTCTTTATTAATAGAGTTCATCCTCTCCAAATACTAAAACAAGCCAAGACAAAGGCCAAAAGACATTAAGTAGCAGGAAATGTTACTGTCTTGCCACACCTTTAAATAATATTGTTGAGAGACAAGGCTGAAATATTAAATTTCAAAGCAGCCTTTAAATAATGATCTGTATGGTGTCAGATTATTTGGAGATCTTATTATGCAACACACAAATCCACTCCAATGACTTGAAAGGACAGCACAGTAGATTCGCATTTCTGCCTTGCAATTCTGGGGTCCTGCAGTGTCCAAAAATTGCCAATGGGTTGTGAGTGCGTGTCAACATGTCTGAACAAAGGCTGCAAACCTCTTTGGTGGCACAATCTGATAGGATTAGAATATGTATAGGCATTTTTTTTTTTTTTTTTAGTTTTGGATAGCATAAGGAAGAGTTTATGTTTTGTTTTGTACCACTGTAGAACTTTCCTTCACTTCCTGTCCAAGCAATAAACAGGAAGTGAGAGGGAATCTCTATAAGTGAGGCGAATTCCCCTTTTTGACGGTTGTCTCTCTCTCTGTCTCTCTGTTGCATTTTGAATTATTTTCTGTTTCATGATGATTAACCGCCTCCCGGCCGCCATATAAGGAATTGACGGGCGCAAGGCGGTTCTCTCGTTCTGGGAGGTCGTCATATGACATCCTCCCATTCTAACCGCACATGCGTGGCTCCGGGAGCGCACAGCGCAGTGATCGGTGGTGCGCTGTGTCCCTTGGACACAGCGGATCACGGATCAAGGGAAAGCGCCGAAGATGTCAGCTCTGTCATGTGATCAGCTGTGTCCAATCACAGTTGATCACATGTAAATAGGGAAATGCCGGTTATCGGCATTCCTCGGCGGGAACATGGGCACTGATCATCAGGGCACTGATGATCAGTGTGCCCTGATGATCAGTGTGGCCCCAGAAGTGCCACCTGTCAGTACCCATCAATGCCAGCTGTCAGTGCTCATCAATGCCACCTACCAGTGCCCATCAGTGCCACATCAATGCCACATATCAGTGCTTAACAGTGCACATCAATGTCACATATCAGTGCCCATCAGAGCTGCCTTTCAGTGCCACCTATCAATGTCAGACAGTGCCACCTATCAGTGCTGCCAATCAGTGCCACCTATCAGTGCCAGTCAGTGCTGCCTATCAGTGCCAGTCAGTGCCACCTATCAGTGTGTATCAGTGCCACCTAACAGTGCCAGTCAGTGCCGCCTATCAGTGCCATATATGAGTGCTGCATTTCAGTGCCCATCAGTGATGCCTGTCAATGCCCATCAGTGGCACCTACTGGTGCCTCCTCATCAGTGCCACCTATCAGTGCCGCCTATCAGTGTCCATCACTACAGCCTCATTAGTGCACATCAGTGAAGAAGAAAAATCACTTATTTACAAAATTTTATAACAAAAACTAAGAAAAAAACTTTTTTTTTTTCAAAAATTTTCAGTTGTTTTTTGGTTTGTTTAGCAAAAAATAAAAAACCCAGAAGTGATTAAATACCACCAAAAGAAAGCTCTGTCTCAAAAAAATGATAAAAATGTCATATGGGTACAGTGTTGCATGACCGCGCAATTGTCATTCAAAGTATGACATCGCTGAAAGCTAAAAACTGGCCTGGGCAGGAAGGGGGTATAAGTGCACGGTAGGCTAGTGCTAAGTTAAATGCTTAGTTAGTAAAGTATATACATATATTGTGACAGTGTGGCGATCTGCCATGATATAAAAAGGATATATCACCTGGGATTCTCAACAAGGCAGGTTGAGGGGCTCCAGGGTAAGTGTTTGATGCAGAGGAAAGTGGCTTTTCACTTTCCTCATTTGTTTCTAAAGTCCATTTTGGGACCTGGAGCCTGGAGATTTCAAAGTGATTTGGGAGGGATGAAATCTCCAATCCTGGAACCAGGTTTTGGGAAAGGCCAGGAGACTGATTGGTCAGATGTGTGTGGGACCAGGGTTCTGGGCTCCACCCTCCCGAGGAGTCCATGTGGGTGCAAGGTGGCACAGTATAGTCTGAGAGCAGACAGGGCCCAAGCCTGTGGTAACCCAGGTGCAGTGTGTTGCACATGAATGGTCAACAGGACTGAGGCATGAAGCCTGAGCAGCGGTGCTGCTAAAGAGAGCCAGGAAGCTGAATATTTTAGTTTGTATTGATGGTGGATACCTCTGTGTGGCAAACCTGTTATATGGAACTTTCTTTTAAATAAAATTGGGCAAAAACAGCCCTTAAAAAAGAAGAGCGCGCCTGGCTGTGTGTTGTTAAAGCTCTACCCTTGGTGCTAGTTCCCACATATGGTGGCGGATGCAGCAAGTAGAACGGGAGATCCCTGCAATGAAGTTCATTTGTTATATGAACTGTGTTTGGAGCATAAATGTGCAGGTGAGGAACAGTTAAACAAGTAGCTGCAGTGGAAAATGTGAATGTGTCACGGCTTGAGAGAAGTTCCAGCAGAGAGAAGCCCATGCCATGTGCAAGGAGAGGGGCAGACCAGAGGCCAGGACTGAGAGTGATTGCCCATAGCAACACCGAGGAGGCCAGTCGGGCTGTCTGTGTACGGGGGGCTATGTCATATAAGGATCATGGCAAGTGGCATCAAGAGGAGCCAATACAGCATGTTGGAAAGAGCCAGCAAAGTTCTGCTTGGAGAGTGCAATCTCCCATGGTGACTGGAGAAAAAGTATTGCCCGGAAGTAGGAGCTGCATTGGAGATGTGGCTCAGTGTCCCAACAAATATTAGTGTGGAAATGTACCCTGCCTGGAATGTGGTCAGTGGGGGCATGGGATCTTTACCTGTCCCAGACTCTGGAATACCGCTGCTACTGGGCAAATGTCTTCATCTGCAAGCCCAGATTCTTGTTTTAAAATGTTGGCAGCCACCTCTGGCAAAAGGTAGTACCTGTAGTGCCTGCAGGGGGTGCCAGAGAGTCCATGGAGCCTATGAGTGTCTGTCACTTCACCTTGGGGCAAGGGAAAAGTTGCCAAGGAAAGGGCAGTTGAGGACTGGTTCATGAGATGACGCACTCAAATGAAGATGGTGACACCTACTACTCTGGTGGGTAAGACTGTGTGTGACAAAACCATGGCTGGGACTGCTAATGTCATGTTGAGAAGGACTGGTTATGAGACTGTCCATTCTGATGTAAGAGTGACCCCAGTTAGTTGGGCCACTGAATTGTGTGACTTTTCCCTGTGCAGTGCCTTGTACAGTGGGGAGGTAGGGTTAAAGTAAAACCTGTGCATGGTTCTCAAAATGAAAGTGATGTCACTAATGTCTGCCAGTCACAGGTTGGTAGTGGGCTAGTACAGCCCGCAAGAGCTAAAAATGCTGAGAATGTTGATGATGATGATGATGAGAAATGTACTGCTGTTTGGAAAACCCTAAGCTCTTGCAGTACAAAAGCCGTAATTAAAGATGTGTCATTTCCCATAGCAACTGGTGGTAAGACAGCACAGATGTCCTTAGAAATCTCCAGGGGACTCCATGTATTGGAGCCAGAGGTTGCCCCAGACAACTGCGATGTCACTCTGGTGGAGCAAAGTGGAACTGCACCTTGTAATAGGAGTGTGTTGGTGCAGTCTAATAATACTGAAAGTGTTCAGGTAAACAACGGGTTAATACAGCCTGTGAAAAATGCAAATGTGTGGGTAATTCATGAAGCACCACCAGAGCAAAGTGGTGGATGTGAGGTACTGCAACCTGCTGTTGGAAAACAGGTGGTACCCAAGTCCTACATGATCCAGAGAGATTTGTGCAATGGATCTGCAACTAAGCCCCGTCTATTCTTATGTGTCTCCTTGGGTGGATAGATCGGTGCTGAGGAGCACTGGCGAATTGAGCACATATACAATGGATTGGGATAGTTGGGGTAAAAGGCTAATCTTGTTGATAGATGAGGCTTTTATGCAAAAAAAATACTGCTGTGCCAGCAGGAGGGTCTATAGAACAGCCTATAGATAAGGGCGTGCATACAGCAGAGACTTTGTCTGTGACCCACAAAAGTGATGTTGGCATGGAGTGTCAAAATGATGTTGTCACTGGGAATGATCTGGGGCAGCTTGTGGATGCTGAGTCTGAGAAGTTGAGCGAGCCCAGCATCTGGCAGCTCTCTGGTGGAGCACCAGGCTGAGGTTACCTCCAGCTGGGAGGAGGTCCCTTTTAAAAGTTGCAACTTCTCAAGTCTCAGCAGGTGAGTCTCTCGGCATTTTCCAGTGTCATAAATATTTTCAGGAAGGTCTTGGGTCTGGAGTAAAGTGGCTGGGTTGTAACATAAGTATTAAAGGAGATGCTTGAACTTTGGGATGTACAGCCAATGTATACTGGGGTGTCTCCTCCACAGTCAGATGGTATAGTACTGTGGGGTACCACTAGGTGGAAAAAAGTGGTTTATTTCTGTATTTGTTGATGGTGTAAAAGTTGCCTCTGGGTACGCTGCTGGGCTACTTCCTATAAATATGATATATGAGCGAGGTTTTTGGAGAAATTTAAAAATTAGGCAAAAAAGGTTTCACCTCCTAACAGCCAGGTGGGAAGTGTTTCTGCTGCTATGGTCCAGGATGGTGCTGGCAAGTTGTCAGTGAAGGGCGTGTTTACTGCACCAGTGGACAAACCACATGAGACTGAAGGGCCGAGCATGGACCAGAGAACAGCAGAGATCCTGATCAGGGCTCAGATGGATGTGCTTACAGAAATCAGGGTCACTGGGCCAAAAAGAGGTTTATGTAGCAGGTCTGATAAGACACCTGAAATACAGGAACAAATGGTATGTGAAAACTGGCAAAATGGATCAGAAGAGAGCTCATCTGTTCAGGATTTGGATACAGATCCAAGTGGTGTCGGAAAAGTTAAAATGGTGGGACAGCCGTCTGCAGAGTGCATGACATCAGGTGAAGTGGCATCTTGTGAGGTTCCCGTAGGTGATGGCTGCCCTATGGTGTGTGTGCCCTCTGCAGACACTGTCCTATCAAATGCTGGAAAAGATATTGAGAGGTGTAATATTGACTGAAATATATCTGTTCATGGTAAACTGAATACTGTGGTGATGAGTCATGCAGGTTTGATATCCATAGGTACCAGAAATAAGACGGGTGGTCCTGGTGCAAATACAGTAGACATAGCAGCTGTCTTCAGTTGTTCTTTGTTTGGGGGTCTTTCTGCCTTTTAGTTTTGCCTTCAGAAAGTGAAATGCATGCTCAACTGGGTTGAGATCAGGTGACTGACTCGGCCATTGCAGAATATTCCACTTCTTTTTCATCAAAAGCTCCTGGGTTGCTTTTGCAGTGTTTTTTTGGATCATTGTCCATCTGTATTGTAAAGTGCCGTCCAATCAACTATGCTGCATTTGGCTGAATCTGGGCTGACAGTATATCTCAAAACACTGCAGAATTCATCCGGCTGCATCTGTCTTCTGTCACATCATCAATAAACATCAATGACCCAGTGCCACTGGAAGCCATGCATGCCCATGCCATCACACTGCCTCCACCATGTTTTACAGATGACGTTGTGTGCTTTGGATCATGAGCTGTTCCAAGCCTTCTCCACACTCTTTTCTTCCCGTCATTCTGGTACAGATTAATCTTAGTTTCATCATCCAAAGAATGCTTTTCCAGAACTGGTCTGGCTTTTTTAGATATTTTTTTTGGCAAAGTCTAATCTGGCTTTTCTATTCTTCAGGCTTATGAATGGTTTTGCACCTTGTGGTGAACCCTCTGTATTTTCTCTCGTGAAGTCTTCTCTTGATAGTAGACTTTGACAATGATAGTAGACTTTGACAATGTACGCCCACCTCCTGGAGAGTGTCCTTCACTTGTCTGGATGTTGTGAATGGGTTTTTCTTTACCATACAGAGGATCCTGTGATCATCCACCACTGTTTTCTTCCATGGATGTCCATGTATTTTGTATGCTGTTGAGCTCACCAGTGCATTCTTCTTTGCTTAAATGTACCAAACTGTTGATTTAGCCACTCCTAATGTTGCTGCTGTCTCTCTGATGGATTTATTTCATTTTTAAGCCTTACAATGGCCTGTTTCACTTGCATGGACAGCTCCTTTGAATGCATGATGTAGGTTCACACCAACAGATTCCAAATGCAAATACCACATTTAGAATCAACTCCAGACCTTTTACCTGCATAATTGATGAAGAAATAACGAAGGAGTAGCCCACACTTAGTCATGAAACAGCTTTTGATTCAATTGTCCAATTACTTTTGGTCCCTTGAAAAAAGGGGGGATGGCTACTATTAGGAGCTGTAATTCCTAAACCCTTCCTTCAATTTAGATGTACATTCCCTCAAATTAAACCTGAGAGTGTGCACTTTCAGCCCATATCCATTGTAGAACTATAGCTTGAATATGTTTTGGTAAATACCTGAAAAAAACTAAAACTGTGCCTATGTCCAGATATATATGGACCTAACCGTATATCTTACTACGAGGGTTGCCATATTGTTTACTATCTTCCACCAACTCTTTGACCTAGTGTTTGTGTTTACAGTCTATGTATACAGATTAGAAGTCTATGGGGCTGATAGACAGGGGTCAGTCTGTCTACCAGCCCTTAAAAATCTATGCAGTCCAACATAGGGAAACTGGATCAAGAAGCCTGAGGAGGAATGCAAACAATACTGTTGAGTCAAGATCTAAGTAACAGGGCTGTCGGAGTGAATTCTAGGTAAATAGAACAATTTGGGAGGTGGGCTACACTAGTTTAGGGGAAAGGAAAAGTTTTTCTTCCTTACCCTTCAAAACAGATATTATCACCATTTTCTCACACATCCAAAAATATGCAGCTTAAAAATATACTGTAGTCAATAATAAAAACAAACTCAAGGCTTCTTGATGTCTACCAGAAACAGAAAACCTGGTGTGTAATAAAAGCCAGTGCTATGAAATTTCTCACAGCATCCAATTAAATTAAAACCTATCTTACAAAAATGAATGAGGCAGAGGGGAAGTTACACAGCACTGGTTTCAGGAAATGCACTCTAACTGTCCTCATGCTCTATAGAGATGTGTGTGCTTATTCTGCATGGATTACAAAACATTTAGATCGTCTGGAATTTCTCCAAAAACAAAAACCAAAGCACTTCATGGTATGCGAGTATGCATAGGCACTCCTGTGATTGCAGCCTCATGGCTCTACTATATATCTATGGTGTGAGATCTCAGGCACTGTGCCTCTTACTGCTAATGTCATGACATTTGGAATGACATTTGGTGAAATCACTACTGTGCTGCTCACTGTTCTCCATGCTGGAGAGAAATCTGTAGATGTGTGCTTCCTACACTTCTCCTGCTGTCTCTTGAATATTCTTCCCCCAATCACCAGATCACAGATCATTCGGAGGAACAACTCTGATATAAGGAGTCAAAGCACTGCTCCTTTACAAGATAGCTGCCTCTACAGACACAGTGCAGAACAAGACGTGATAAGTTATTAATGGGGGGAATGATCAGTTGCAGGGAGAGCACAGGCAATACTGGTCACTAGTTGAATATAGGAGTGAAACCCCTGCGCTACCTCAATAATGAGAGAGAGGAAAAACACACAAGCAGAAAATTAAAATAGAAATTGTGATAAATGTGGCCGCTGCTAACATCAAATTGTGTTCCCACAAAAGTAGAGCAAATTAAAAATAAATAAGTGATGCAGCGCTGCTATATAATAGCTACAAAAAATGAAAAAGTGACATAACTGAATAAAACGTTCATACTAAGTCCATAAATATAAAATCAATCAATTTATATTATGTAATAGAGTTTCTTCCATAATTCATGTGTTTTCTTCTTGTGCTGATATCCCAAACACCATCAAGTGAAACAGTGCACATAACATATAGTGCCACCTCAGTGCTCACAGATCTCTCACCTCAGCGCACATGGTAATGCGCTTTATAATATCAAACAGACAAAAGGAGTCTTCACTTTTTCAATCCACAACCAGGTGATGGTAATCAGATACCTTTTGAACTTGCAATAGATTGTCAAACCAGAGCCAGGGATCGATCCCTTTAACTACTTGCTGACCGCAGATAGCCAGATGACAGCTTCACTGTGGACGGCCAGTTCTGGGAGGACGTCATATGACATCCTCCCGGAATGCACTCTCCTGCGCACCCCCTGGGGACGAGCACCCGGCGATCTCCATGATCGCTGTGTTTTACGGACACAGCTGTTCACGTGATATGGTAAAAGGCCAATCACAACTGCCTTTTACCATGTGATCAGACATGTCCAATGACACACTGACCGGGAAATGCAATTGCCAGTTATCGGCTGCACATTCCTCACGCTGTAACAGCGTGAGGAAAGTACTGCCGAGAACCGGCAGTTGTCAGAGGAGGGATGATCGGTGCCCAGCAGTGCCACCTACCAGTGCTGCCCAGCAGTGCCACCCACTTGTGCCGCCTATCAGTGCTGTCTATCAGTGCCGCCTAACCGTGCAGCCTCAACGCAAATCGGTGAAGAAGAAAAATTACCAGTTTGCAAAATGTTATAATAGAAACAAAGAAACTTTTTTTTTTTTTTCAAATTTTTTGCATATAGTGGCTAGTAATTACCACCAAAAGAAAGCTCTATTTGTGTTAAAAAATGATTAAAATTTCATATGGGTACAATATTGCATGACCGACTAATTGTCATTCAAAATGCGACAGCGCTGAAAGCTGAAAATTGGCCTGGTAAGGAAGGGGGTATGAGAGCCCGGTAGGCAAGTGGTTAAGGGTGATGGAGGTCACACATTTGTATCCTTAAAAGGGAACAAAGGACACTCCCATGGTGCAGTATGTACTAGTATATAAATTTATTAAGAAGCAGTAATACACTCACATGTAGTAAATGAATAAAATGCCATAAAATCAACAGATTCAGGCTTCACTTGTTGTCAGCTGAATTCACTATTCATGTCTGCCCAGAGACAGGCCCCTTACGCATCACATCACGCCCACGTGACTTCAGAGGGACAACAAGTGAAGCCTGCATCTGATGATTTTATGTAGTAAATTAATAAAATGCTATAAAATCATCAGATGCAGGCTTCACTTGTTGTCCCTCTGATGAAGTCACGTGGGCGTGATGTAATGCGTAAGGGGAATGTCTCTGGGCAGACATGAATAGTGAATTCAGCAGACAAGTGAAGCCTTTTGATTTATGATTTAATTTTATGATTTTATGGCATTTTATTCATTTACTACATGTGAGTGTATTACTGCTTCTTAATAAATTTATATACTAGTACAAACTGCACCAAGGGAGTGTCCTTTGTTCCCTTTCAAGGATAGAAATGTGTGACCTCCATCACCCTTAAAGGGATCGATCCCTGGCTCTGGTTCCCTGGCTCTGGTTTGACAATCTATTGAAAGCTCAAAGGTATCTGATTACTATCACATGGTTATAGATTGAAAAAGTGAAGACTTCTTTTGTCTATTTGATATTATAAAGCGCATTTCTATGTGCTCTGAGGTGAGAGACCTGTGAGCACTGAGGCGGCACTATATGTTATGTGCACTGTTTCACTTGATGGTGTTTGGGATATCAGCCCAAGAAGAAAACACATGAATTATGGAAGAAACTCTATTAAATAATATAAATTGATTTTACATTTATGGACGTTTTTTATTCAGTTATGTCACTTTCATTTTTTGTAGCTATTATATAGCAGCTCTACATCACTTATTTATTTTTAATACTGGTGCCTAGCCCTTTGTCCTCTGCCTGCCTTTTTTGGACACAGCTTCCACAGGTTTAGCCTCTTTAAAGGGTAAGTTCGTCCAAAACGGATATATTAGTTTTTGGTAGATGCTGCTGTAATAAACCAGCCAACAGTTTCTCATATTTCTTGGTGAGCTCTCTGTGTTGAATTCCAGGTCTTCACACCTGCTGTAGCCATTATGAGAGTTTCCCTCTCTATCTCCTGATCTTTTTTTTTAAAAATGTGTTATGAGAAAAATGTCACAGGGGGAACTGAATATGTAGGTTGGAGCCCCCAAAACTCCAAAAATGAACAGGAAAAGGAATTGTTGGGCATGTCCAAAACATATAAAAAGTCATGGATTGTGTCAGCCTACAAAGCTCCACCTATAATTAAATATCACTATCACATAATATCACCCTATGTGAACTAACATTCACACAGTCACAATACAATAAGGTCCTTTTACAATACCTTTCAGTATATAAGGAGACTGTGCGACATGCTTGTCCTGGTGAAGGACTTCAATCAGCAAACCCTCCATGGCACTGCCGTACATTCGGTACCTCATCAGGAAAGAGCCATCATTTCTATCCAGGGGGTCAGGAACATGAATTCGGATGTATTCCTTGTTGGAGAGGGCTTTGATGGTTACTTTAAATGACTTACTCCCTGGAACAAAAAAATCAAAGAAGAAATATTATATGGATGAGAGCTTTTTTTTTTTGTTAGTTATGACCCCCTTGCCAGATAGTTCATTTCAGCAATAATCTTCCCATAAGGGCTCACTCATACCATCTACACTCCAAGAAACTGCTCTTCTAACACTTATGATTTTACTAACATGTAAGGCCAATGGTCACTATTCTGTACACTTACTCTTGGACCTCTCTGCTGCCTTCTCCTCAATATACTCCATTCCCCCTTCATGACTGTACTCTTCATTGGGTCTCATCTTACTTATCTCACCGCACCATCAGTGTCACCTAAAACTCTACCTCCTCCTCTACTCTTCCTTTTTCTGGTGGGGTCCTCCAATGCTCTGTCCTTGAAGCTCCCTTATTCTCAATCTACATCTCCTCCCTGGGTCAGCTGCTAGCCTCCCATAGATTCCAATAACATTTCTATGTTAACAAGACCCAAATCTACCTTTCTACCCCCCAGCTCACTCCATCAGTATCCTCATACATCACAAATTTACTAACAGACCTTTCAATCTGGATGTTACACCACTTCCTCAAACTCATTCTATCCAAAACTAAGCTCATATTTCCTCCCCCACTTCTCTGTGTGGATGGATAAGTCCGTCCCCGCACACTGGGGTGCTAGGTGTAATCCTGGACTCTGAACTATCCTTTTGGTCCCACATCCAATCACTGTCCACAGCTAGCTGCCTCAACCTCCACAGCCCTTCCTAACAATTGGCACCACAAGCTCCTAATTCACTCTCTGGTCATCTCTAGCCTCAACTACTGCAACTCCCTCCTCATTGACTTTCCTTTACATAGGCTATCACGCCATCAGTCCATCATGAATGCTGCTGCCAGAATCATCTACCTTCCCAACCATTCAGGGACTGCTACCCCTCTCGGCCATTCCCTCCACTGGCTTCCACTCACCCAACGAATTAAATTCAAAATACTAACAACTTACTAAACCATCCACAACTCTGATCCGCATCCGCATCTGCATCACTAACCTAGTCTGAAAATACAAACCAAACTGTCCCAAGAGCTACTGTTCTCTAGCTCCGCTGCCATTCTCACCTCCAGGACTTTTCCAGAGCCTCTCCCTTCCTCTGGAACCTCTTAACTTAATTCATCCAAATCTCTCCTTCTCTGTCCACTTTTAGGCAATCCTTGAAAACCCATCTCTTTAGAAAGCCTATCCTGCCTCCACCAAAAAAAACACATTTTTTTTTCCTCCATCAGCTCATTCCCCACAAATATTGCTTTTTGTATGACTTGACCCTCCCTCTAAGTGCAGGTTCATATATATGCGGATTGGATGCGGTTTGAACTGCATCCAATCTACATGACATGTGAAAAAACATTGCTTCCTATGGTGCCTGTTCACATACAGTCATGGCCGAAATTGTTGGCACCCTTGATATTTTTCCTGAAAATCAAGTATTTCACACAAAAAAGGTATTGCATTAACACATGTTTTGCTATACACATGTTTATTCCCTTTGTATGTATTGGAACAAATATAAAACAGAGGCAGAAAAGCAAATATGACATAATGTCACACAAAACCCCAAAAATGGGCTGGACAAAAGTATTGGCACCCTTAACTTAATATTTGGTTGCACACCCTTTGGAAAACATAACTGAAATCAGTCGCTTCCTATAACCATCAATAAGCTTCTGACACCTCTCACCCGGAATTTTTGGACCACTCTTCCTTTGCAAACAGCTCCAGGTCTCTCTTATTGGAAGGACACCTTTTCCCAACAGCAATTTTAAGATCTCTCCACAGGTGTTCAATGGGATTTAGATCTGGGCTCATTGCTGGCCACTTCAGAACTCTCCAGCGCTTCTTTGCCATCCATTTCTGAGTGCTTTTTGACGTATGTTTGGGGTCATTGTCCTGCTGGAAGACCCAGGATCTTGGACGCAAACCCAGCTTTCTGACACTGGGCCCTACAGTGCGACCCAAAATCCTTTGGTAATCCTCAGATTTCATGATGCCTTGCACACAGTCAAGGCACCCAGTGCCAGAGGCAGCAAAACAACCCCAAAACATCATTGAACCTCCACCATATTTTACCGTAGGTACTGTGTTTTGTTCTTTGTAGGCCTCATTCCGTTTTCGGTAAACAGTAGAATGATGTGCTTTACCGAAAAGCTCTATCTTGGTCTCATCTGTCCACAAGACGTTTTCCCAGAAGGCTTTTGGCTTACTCAAGTACATTTTGGCAAACTGTAGTCTTGCTTTTTTATGTCTCTGTGTCAGCAGTGGGGTCCTCCTGGGTCTCCTGCCATAGCGTTTCATTTCATTTAAATGTCGACGGATAGTTCGCGCTGACACACTGATGCTCCCTGAGCCTGCAGGACAGCTTGAATGTCTTTGGAACATGTTTGGGGCTGCTTATCCACCATCCGGACTATTCTGCGTTGCAATCTTTCATCAATTTTCCTCATCCGTCCACGACCAGGGAGATTAGCTACAGTGCCATGGGTTGCAAACTTCTTGATAATGTTGCGCACTGTGGACAAAGGCAAATCTAGTTCTCTGGAGATGGACTTGTAACCTTGAGATTGTTGATATTTTGCCACAATTTTGGTTCTCAGGTCCTCAGACAGTTCTCGTCTCCTCTTTCTGTTGTCCATGCTTAGTGTGGCACAGACAGACACACAATGCAAAGGTTAAGTGAACGTCTCTCCTTTTTATCTGCTTTCAGGTGTGATTTCTATATTGCCCACACCTGTTACTTGCCCCAGGTGAGTTTACAGGAGCATCACATGCTTGTAACATTCTTATTTATCCGCAGTTGTGAAAGGGTGCCAATACTTTTGTCCAGCCCATTTTTGGAGGTTTGTTTGCTTTCTTTCCTCCCTTTTTTTGTTTTGTCCCAATACACACAAAGGGAATAAACATGTGTATAGCAAAACATGCGTTAATGCAATACGTTTCGTGAGAAATACATGATTTCCTGGAGAAATATCAAGGGTGCCAACAATTTCGGCCATGACTGTATGTCCGGTGCACTAGCAGTGCAGATTCAGTGCGGTTTTAAAGAGTCATGTCCGATTTCTGAGCAGTGTGGTCTGGTTTAGGTGCGGATTGCAGGCTATTGGCTTCTATGGGAACTGTTTCTAAACCTCACATGTGTGAACAGGATAAGATCCTGAGCCAATCCTGTCCTGCACCTGATATAAAGCTGACATTAACCACCGAACAACATCTGTATCAATTAGCTGTGAAATAAAGTTATAAAAAAAAAAAAAAAAGTATACAGTGCCTTGAGTTGTAAAACACAAAGCACTGCTTGTAACTGATGCTACACAGTGGACACCAGCCGCACACCAAAATGTACCATGTGATATACAGTATATGTGCATTTAACATATTCTATGCATGTTATTGATTAGTAAAGTCCTTTCTTGTGTAGACATCCCCAGGGACAGGAATCCAGAAGGAATAGTTCACTTTTTGCACATCTATATCCCTGCCATTACAATTATGTAAGGCAGCATGCAAACAGTGAAAAAGGATAATTATGATAAACATATTTTGACAGCAATAATAATAAAAATGTGAAAAATATACAAATCACAAATAATAGCGCAAACCAAATCACATAACTAAATATAACCACCACCAAATAAGTGCATATTAATAGTGCAAACAAAAAATCAAATAGGGAATCTCAATATAGTCCATTCAGAAAAGTCCACATGATCCTCAGTAAATGAAGTAATGAGATCCTCCTTCATAAGCAATGTGGTATCCGAGGGAATCCCTCGGAAGAAGTCATTGGACGAAACGCGTCAGAGGGTGGCCTTAGTTGTGTGATTTGGTTTGCGCTATTAATTGTGATTTGTATATTTTTCACATTTTTATTATTATTTTGAGTTTTTTAATAATAGCAGCATCCAGTGAGTGTATTTCCTCTCTTTATTACATTGGCGCAATGATGTTGGTATAATAGAAGTGTTGTATTTATTGGAACATTTCTTTGGTAACTAACTTTTTAGTAATATTTTAACAGCAACACATATGCAAAAAAAAAACAACAAATAAAAAAATAATTTTTAAGATTCATACATGAGAACCTTGTTGAAGCAATTTTATGTTATACGGCAACAACATGCTATTGCTGTCTATCAATTTTGCTCCAGTGTTGTCACCCTGTCACATAGGCCATCAGCACAGGCATGGTTCACATTTATCCCATCAGTAAACCCACCCTGAGAAATGTCATGTTGATGGAGTGCATGTAGACCTTAAGTGGTGGCAAACAGGCTGCAGGAGATCAGCAGCATGACAAGCAACAAGGATTTAAAAATAAAAAAAAAGGACTTAAAAAAAAGTCATGATACACAGAGCACACAAAATCTATAAAGGAAAAGCAAGAGCAGACACAGATGCAGGGTTTTTGGCCAATGTTCAGTTTGTAGGAAGGACAAGCTTCTGCCAATACTATTATGTAAGGGTGGCTTTATCAGGGACAGTCAGCCAAAGAAATCTGGGAGCAGTCTGTAGAGGAAAGATGCGGAGAACATGGTCAGGAAAGATGAACAGCAATGGGATCCGGAGCTCCTGGGTTCTCTGACAATTCAGCAATGATACAAATTATACACAGCACCCTGAACGATGTGCGAGACCTTCTTCCACAATTATCCTGTACTAGAAAATATGGAGGCTGCCACCGCCATCCTGTCCTCCTGAAAATGCTACCTGCCTGGCTGTCCTATGGATCTAATGTCCTCTGTTCTTCCTGAACCACAATTCTGCAACAAATACAAGGAGTAGACAAAAATATGGAAACACTACATGATTTGCAGGAGTGAAAGTGACAGCATGTTTCACGTTGAAAGCGAAAGTGATGTAATATTCTTTTGCTTCCGCTGTATGATGAGACACCTAGCTAACAGGTGGGAAGCCTCACTTTCATCATTCATTGCATGCACTGCTAGTGATACGGAGTCATGTTAGAGCTTACTGAGCTTCAGAGAGGGTGACTTGTAGGTGCCACTTAGTTGGTGCCTCTTTGACTGAAGTCGCCAATTTATTTACTGTGTCGCAGGTACAGTAACAGGTATGGCGGCATATACAGTTTCTGGGAAAATGTTGTCTGATAAGCATAAGTGCAGTCGATATGATCAACTGACCGACAGAGGCCAAAGGAAATTGCACAGGATTGTGACCTGGAATAAGAAAACAACTATTGCAAGAGTGAGTGCAGAGCTCAATCTCAGTCTTCACGGGACACAGTCGTTACAGTTTGCAGTCTTCACGGGACTGAGATTGAGCTCTGCACTCACTTTTGCAGCACTTGTTTTCTTAGCCCTGGTTCACACTTGCCTACAGACTGTGGGCTGGTTGCAGGAATTGCAGCCCGCAGCTGAATTGTGCTGTTCTTGCAAGATACGCGGGGATGACATTCATGCTGAATGGCACCTCCAGACATCTCAGTCCTCAGCGGGATCAGGAGTGAGGGAACTGCGTGGTCAAAAAGACCATACAGTCTCCCTGCAGATGTGTTTTTCAAAAGGTGCATGCACCTTTTTTTTTTTTTTTTATTTTGCATGAAACATCGCCATAGCAGTCCATTTAAATGAATGGACTGCCTTGGCCGCACAAACGCAGGGCGCACACCCACACTAGTGTGAACCTGGCCTTATTCCGGGTCTCAATCCTGCACAATGTCCTTTTGTCTCTTTCGGTTAGTTGACCATGTTGCCTGCGCTTATGCTGATTAGATGGTGTTTCCCCAGAAACTTTATATGCCATCATAACCTTTGATACTGTCCCTGCGACATGGCAAATAAATGAGCAACCATCTGCCTGGAGTTTGCATGTTCTCCCTGTGCCTGTGTGCGTTTCCTCCGGGTACTCCGGTTTCCTCCCACACTCCAAAGACATGCTGGTAGGTGAACTGGATCCTGTCTAAATTGGCCCTAGTATGTATGAATGTAAGTTACCCTGGGTTCACACCTAAGTGCTTTCTGCAGCATTTTGCAGAAACGCAGTACAGTCCATTTAACATGATATTCTATGGGACAGGTTCACATCTGCGTGATTTCCCCTGGTGCATTATTTGGAAAGTGGCAGGGACTTTTTTGAATGCAAAAAGGTGCGTTTTTGGTTCTATAGACTTCAATGGAAATGCTACATGAAAGCATGTATTGCATTTTTGCTGCGTTTTGCATGTTAAATCTGCCTAGCAACAAAAAAAAAACGTGAAATGCATCAAAAACGTGTCAAAAACGCAGGTTCAAAAACGCAACACAAAACGCAATGCAGAAACAGCTCGAGTGCAACCTGCATAGGTGTGAACCTAGCCTTAGGAACCTTAGATTGTACACCCCTTGAGGGTTAGGTACTGATGTGAATGTACAATATATATGTAAAGCGCTGCGTAGACTGATGGCGCTATATAAGTACCTGAAATAAATAAAATAAACTTCAGTCCCAGAGGCACCAGCTTTGTGTGCACCAATAATTTGCCCTCTCTGAAGCCCAGTGACCCCTGGTTCACATATTCATGTTCCTGCGGTCCGCGTTTTGCGCGGCTACAAGAGCCTATTCATTTGAATGGACTCCGGTGCCCTGGGACACGCAGGGAAGAAGTCCCTACACTTCTTCTGAAAATGCAGCCTTGGTTCCCAGTGCGGTTGGCAAGCCATTAGAATGAATGGCACTCACCCGCAGGTCCGCATTCTTTGGTGCGGGTGGTGCAGCTGCAGATTTTTGTGCGGATCCACCGAGGCACCACCCACACAGACATGAACCTAGCCTAAGCTCTGACATGACTCTGTATTACTAGCAGCGCAGGCAGTGAATGGTGAAAGTGAGGCTTCCTATCTGTCAGCTAGGTGTCTCATCACACAGCAAAAGAAGAATGTTACATAACTTGGAAAGGTTGTCACTTTCACAGCTGCAAATCATGTAGTGTTTCCATGTTTAGTGTAACCTGTATGTAGAGCGGACATGTCACCTTTAATCTGATTTTCTACTGTGCATGCCTGTCCCGCGTCAGAAGCGGCTTTCCTTCAACCTTGGCATGTGATTGGACAGTCCCAAACCCTACGGAACCATTTCAATCGATAGGACTCCCGACTATGCCGTGCCGCAACGATTTTTAAAAAAGGTTCCTGTGCTATTTTTGGCAGTTTCATGTGCGACTTCCATAGACATCTGTGCATGACGTCACACAGATATCAGGCAGACACTGACCAGCGGCTTAGGAACTGTGCTACTTCAAGTGAAGTCATTGATTTCAATGCCACATTCAGCGTGAACCAGGGCATAGCTTTTCTGATCACATCCGGGATGCAAAGAATTCTATTCTGTCTAAATGCGGCTCTTAAACCGACTGCACCCAATCGCAGGTAAGTGCCCGGGGAAGTGCTGTGTATAGTGGAGGTGCGGTGCAGAAAAATGCACACTAATGCACCACAAGTGGGGTGAACCAGAGCTTCTGATGTAAGAAAAAAAAAAAAAAAAAAAAAAAGGATTTTAGCTTCTGGTGTGTAAAAAAAAAAAAATACACATCAACACATAAAAAAAAAACGCATGTCAACGCACATCAAGTGAACTGCGTTTCAGAAAACTCGATGGTCCCATACACAGCACACGTGGTGTGAATGAGCCCCAAATAAACCTGTCAGTGGAAGTGTCATGCCTCTCCTGACTGTCCCTTTGATCCCCCGGCTTCTATAGTATGAGGATCAGCATGACAGTCGGGCGGAGGAGAGGCCAGCTGCCCCTCACTGATCAGACATGGAGGGCACTCCAGCCACAGGGAGTGTGCTGAGCCTGTATGGAGGAGGGGCGGGGAAAGAGTTAAATCCCAGGAATGAGGAAGGTGACGTTTTAGGGGGCGGGGCTGGGTGTCCCTGGATAAGTGCTGAGCTGGGAGGATCCATGGATCACCTGGGATGGAATCGGGACAGATCATTACCTGGGGAGGAGGAGAGCGGCCGCCCTGCGCTGTCCGCCGCCTGGATGTAGAAGTATCTGACCGGGAGGGTGATGGAGGCGTCCAGTCCGGGACCCCACACCCGACTCTGCTCCGGGTTCAGCGGCTCGGCCCCGGAACACACACACATGGCCAGGAGGAGGAGCGGGGGCCCCCGAGACAGTGACGGTCCGGAGGATGCCATGGGTGCCCTCAGCTCTGCCCCGCTCCGCTCCTCAGGTCATTCAAACTTCTCAGGGGGAGGGGCCGGAGGATCTGGCCGCTTCCAATTGGTGCTCTGTGCGGCCAATCAACATATCGCCCTGTTCTGTAGAGGGGACAGTCTGCAAAGAGCCCACTGAGTGCGGATAGATATAGGGCCGGGATAGGGATCTCCCCCTGTATTTTCCCCAGTGCCCCGGTATCCCCAGTGAATGGTTCTGCCCTATTGTGTAATGACTGCCGGTATTGGTCTGCCCGGTAATGGTCTTTCCCCAGTGTATTGGTCTGCCCGGTATTCCCAGTGTAATGGTCTGCCCGGTATTCCCAGTGTAATGGTCTGTATTCCCCCGGTATTCCCAGTGTAATGGTCTGCCCGGTATTCCCAGTGTATTGGTCTGCCCGGTATTCCCAGTGTAATGGTCCCAGTGTAATGGTCAGTGTAATGGTCTGCCCGGTATTCCCAGTCTGTATTGTCCCCAATGGTCTGCCCGGTATTTCCCAGTGTAATGGTCTGCCCGGTATTCCCAGTGTATTGGTCTGCCCGGTAATGGTCTGCCCGGTATCCCCAGTGTAATGGTCTGCCCGGTATTCCCCAGTGTAATGGTCTGCCCGGTATCCCCAGTGTATTGGTCTGCCCGGTATTGTCCCCAGTGTAATGGTCTGCCCGGTATTGTCCCCAGTGTAATGGTCTGCCCGGTATTCCCAGTGTAATGGTCTGCCCGGTATTCCCAGTGTAATGGTCTGCCCGGTATTCCCAGTGTAATGGTCTGCCCGGTATTCCCAGTGTAATGGTCTGCCCGGTATCCCCAGTGTATTGGTCTGCCCGGTATGGTCTGCCCCAGTGTAATGGTCTGCCCGGTATTGTCCCCAGTGTAATGGTCTGCCCGGTATTCCCCCCAGTGTAATGGTCTGCCCGGTATGGTCCCCAGTCCCCAGTATCTGCCCGGGTCCCCTGCCCGGTATTGTGCCCCCCAGTGTAATGGTCTGCCCGGTATCCCCAGTGTAATGGTCTGCCCGGTATTCCCAGTGTAATGGTATTGGTCTGCCCGGTATCCCCAGTGTGTGTAATGGTCTGCCCGGTATCCCAGTGTAATGGTCTGCCCGGTATGGTCTCCCAGTGTAATGGTCTGCCCGGTATGGTCCCAGTGTAATGGTCTGCCCGGTATTCCCAGTGTAATGGTCTGCCCGGTATTCCCAGTGTAATGGTCTGCCCGTATCCCCAGTGTAATGGTCTGCCCGGTATTCCCCAGTGTAGTGTAATGGTCTGCCCGGTATTTCCCAGTGTAATGGTCTGCCCGGTATGTCCCAGTGTAATGGTCTGCCCGGTGTCCCCAGTGTAATGGTCTGCCCGGTATCCCCAGTGTAATGGTCTGCCCGGTATGGTCTGCCCAGTGTATTAGTCTGCCCGGTATCCCCAGTGTATTGGTCTGCCCGGTATCCCCAGTGTAATGGTCTCTGCCCGGTATGTATTAGTCTGCCCAGTGTATTGGTAATGGTCTGCCCCCGGTATGTCCCCAGTGTAATGTCCGGTATCCCCAGTGTAATGGTCTGCCCGGTATCCCCAGTGTAATGGTCTGCCCGGTATTCTGCCCCAGTGTAATGGTCTGCCCGGTGGTCTCCCCGTGTATTATAATGGTCTGCCCGGTATTCCCAGTGTAATGGTCTGCCCGGTATTCCCAGTGTATTGGTCTGCCCGGTATTCCCAGTGTAATGGTCTGCCCGGTATTCCCAGTGTAATGGTCTGCCCGGTATTTCCCCAGTGTAATGGTCTGCCCGGTATCCCAGTGTATGGTCTGCCCGGTATTGTCCCCAGTGTAATGGTCTGCCCGGTATCCCCAGTGTGCCCCAGTATGGTCTGCCCGGTATTGTCCCCAGTGTATTGGTAATGTTCTGCCCGGTATTGCCCCAGTGTAATGGTCTGCCCGGTATTTCCCAGTGTAATGGTCAGTGATAATGCCTATCCCAATATAATGGTCTGTATCCCCAGTGTAATGGTCTGCCCGGTATCCCCAATGGTCTGCCCACTATTCCCAGTATAATGGTCTGCCCTCCCAGTATAATTTATTCCCAGTATAATGGTCTGCCATTATTAATATAATGGTCTGCCCAGTATTCCCAATATAATGATCTGCCCACTATTCCCAATGTAATGGTCTGCCCAGTATATGGTTGCCCAGTAGTATAATGGTCTGCCCACTATTTCCAATATAATGGTCTGCCCATAGTGTAATGGTGGTCTGCCCACTATCCCAGTATGGTCTTCCCAATATAATGGTCTGCCCCCAGTATTCCCAGTATAATGGCCTGCCCAGGATGTTTCATTCCCAGTATAATGGTCTACCCAGTATTCCCAGTATAATGGTCTGCCCAGTATTCCCAGTTTAATGCTCTGCCCGGTATTTCCAGTATAATGGTCTGCCCACTATTCCCAATAAAATGGTCTGTCTGCCCAGGATGTATTATTCCCAGTATAATGATCATATAATGGTCTCCCCTAAAATAATGGTGTGCAGAGTATATATTATTAAAAGGATAATGGTCTTCCCAGTATTTATTATTTCCAGTATAATGGTCTCTCCAGTATGTATTAGTCCCAAGATAATTATCTGCCCAGTATTATTCCCAGTATAATGGTCTGTCAGTATGTATTATTCCCAGTATAATGATGTGTCTACTATTCCCAGTATAATGTTCTGCCCAGTATGTATTATTCCCAGTATAATGATCTGCCCAGTATGCATTATTCCAAGTATAATGGTCTCTCCAGCATGTATTATTCACAAGATAATGATCTGCCCAGTATTATTCCCAGTATAATTGTCTGCCCAATATATATTTTTCCCAGTATAATGGTCTGTCCAGTATAATGATTTGCCTAGTATAATGCTCTGCCTATTATGTGTTATTCCCAGTATAATGTTCTGTCCAAAATGATGATCTCCCCAGTATAAAGGTATGCCCAGTAGAATGGCCTGTCCAGTATGTATTATTCCCAGTATAGTGATCTGCCTACCATTCTTAGTATAATGTTCTGTCCAGAATGTAATATTCTCAAAATAATGGTCTACCCAGTATGATTCCCAGTAGAATGGGCTGCCCAGCATGGATTATTCCTAGTAGAATTGCCTGTCTAGTATGTAGTATTCCCATTATAATGGTCTGTCCAGTATGTATTATTTCCAGTATAATGGTATACCCAGAAAAGAGGCCTCCCCAGTATAATGGTAGGCCTAGAATAGAGGTCTGCACAGTATGTATTATTCCCAGTAGAATGGTCTGCCCATTGTGTATTATTCCCAGTAGAATGGTCTGTCCAGTATGATTCCAAGTAGAATGGTCTGCCCAGTATGTGTTATTCTCAGTAGAATGGTCTGTCCAGTATAATGATCTCCCCAGTATTCCCAGTATAATGATCTGCCTAGTATGTTTTATTTCTCAGTAGAATGGTCTGCCCAGTATTCCCAGTATAATGGTTTTCCCAGTATAATGGTCTGCCCATTGTACCCAATACAATGGTCTCCCCAGGATGTATTTTTCCCAGTATAATGATCTCCCCATTATATTGGTATGCCCAGTTTTTATTATTTCTAGTATAATGGTCTCTCCGGCATCTTTTATTCCCAAGATAATGATCTGCCCAGTATTATTCCTAGTATAATGGTCTGCCCAGTATATATTTTTCCCAGTATAATGATTTGTCAACTATTTCCAGTATAATGGTCTGCCCAGTATGTATTATTCCCAGTATATTGATCTCCCCAGTATAATGGTATGCCCAGAATAGAGGTCTCCTTCCATAATGGTAGGCCTAGAATACAGGTCTGCACAGTATGTATTATTCCTAGTATAATGATCTGCCCAGTATGCATTATTCCCAAAAATGCTCTGCCCACTATTCCCAGTATAATGGTCTACCCAGTATGTATTATTTCCAGTATAATGGTATGCCCAGAAAAGAGGTCTCCCCAGTATAACGGCCTAGAACAGAGGTCTGCCCAGTATGTATTATTCCCAGTATAAAGATCTCCACTGTATAATGGTCTGTCCAGTATAATGATTTACCTAGTATAATGGTCTGCCTATTGTGTGTTATTCCAAGTATAATGATCTGCCTACCATTCTTAGTATAATGTTCTGTCCAGAATGTAATATTCTCAGTATAATGGTCTCCCCAGTATAATGTTCTGTCCAAATAATGATCTCCCCAGTATAATGGTATGCTCGGTAGAATGGCCTGTTCAGTATGTAATATTCCCAGTATAATGATCTGCCCAGTATGTATTATTCCCAGTATAATGATCTGCCCAGTATGTATTATTCCCAGTAGAATGGTATGCCAAAGATGTATTATTCCCAGAAGAATGGTCTGTCCAGTATAATGGCCTGCCCGCTATTCCCAGTATAATGGTCTGCCCAGTATTCCTAGTATAATGACCTGCCCAGGATGTATTATTCCCAGAATAATGGTCTGCCCACTATTCCCAGTATAATTGTCTGCCCACTATTCCCAGTATAATGGTTTGCCCAGTATAATGGTCTGCCCAGCATTCCCAGTATAATTGTCTGCCCACTATTCCCAGTATAATTGTCTGCCCACTATTCCCAGTATAATGGTTTGCCCCAGTATAATGGTCTGCCCAGTATTCCCAGTATAATGGCCTGCCCATGGTGTAATATTCCCAGTAAATTATATATAATGGTATGCCCAGTAGAATGGCTTGTCTAGTATGTATCATTCCAAGTATAATGATCTCCCCAGTATAATGGTCTCCTCAGTATTCCCAGGGTAATGATCTGCCTGACATTCCTAGTATAATTTTCTGCCCAGTATGTATAATTCCCAGTAGAATGGTCTGTCTAGTATAATGATCTCCCCAGTAATTCCAGTATAATGATCTGCCCAGCATTCTCAAGATAATGATCTACTCA